GATACAAGGAATTTATGTTTACTAGGCCCGGTCTATAGAAGATACTAGAAGGAATACTTTGGTCTGAAAAGAAGATTAAACAAACCCAAGAGGGAACAAGGAATAACTAAGGAATTTTTTTTAAAGTCAACTAAAAGAAGTCTAAGAAAACACCACCACCACAAGGGCATGACAAGAATTGATAAACTCAGTATTAATGGTCTCAATTCCCCCCAGACAACACAGACTAACTGATTGGATTAGAAAGCAGGATCTAACTTTTTGGTGGTCCTAATAAACTCACCTCAACCTCAAAAGTGGAGACCACATTAGGATAACAGGATGGTAAAGCATATTCCAAGCAAATGAACATGTAAGATAAGCAGGCATAGTTTTTCTATTTTCTGACAAAGTAGAATTCAACCTGGCATTTCATACTCATTAAAAAATCCATTGAGAGTATATTACAGTCCTAAACATATATGCACTGACACAGTGTCATTCAATTTCAAGAATGAAGCACTGTTTGATCTAAGATCACAGACTGACTCCAATGCAGTGAAAATGGGTGACTTCACTACCACGTACTTGCCCAACGGACAGGTCATCTAGACAAAAAACTAGAAATGTCTCGGAGCTAGATGAGAACATAAATCAAGGGGACCTAACAAACATTTCAGAACACTCCACACAAACACTACAGTATGCATCTTCTTCTCAGCAGCTCAGGGAACTTCCTATAAAATCAACCACATATTAGGATAAAAAGCAAGTATCAGAAAAATTAGAAAAATTGAAATAATATCCCACAGTCTATGCGGCCACAAACAACACAGCTGCATATCCACATCGACAGGGATGGAGATGAGCACACGGCATTGTGGAAGCTGGAGCACACCACCGAGGGGAAGTGCAGTCAATGGAGAAACCAAGAAGGGAATTAAAAATTCCTAGAACTGAACAAAAATGAAAGCACAACATATCAAAATCTATGGGACACAGTGAACACAGTCCTAAGTGGGAAGTTTATAGCACTAAGTGGCTACATAAAAAAAAACCCGAGTGATCTCATATTAAAATGCAATAACACACCTGAAGGCCCTGTCAAAACAAGAACAAACAACATCCAAAAGGAGTAGACAGGAGGAAATAGTCAAAATCAGGAGTTAAAGTTAATGAAGAAGGAATGAAAAAAAACAAAAGAATTAGAGAAACAAATAGTCGTTTCTCTGAAAAGAGTCACAAACATTTGGCCACATTAATCAAAAGGAAGAGATCCAAGTAAACAAAATAAGAGATGAAAATGAAAACATCACAACAGATCCTGAGAAAATCCAGAGTCATAAGAACATACTTTAAAAACCTACATTCCACTGAACTGGGAAACCCAAAAAAGGACAAATTTCTAGGTATGTATGACTACACGAATTAGGTGAAGACGAATAAACAGCTCAAATAGGTTGACAGCAATCAACGACACAGAAGCAGTCAGTAAAGATTTAGAAATCTAACAACTGAAGGAAGCCCAGGACCAGATGGATTCAGAACAGAATTTTGCCAGACCTTCAAAGAAGAATTAACACCAACACTCCTCAAATTATTCTGGAAAATGGAAAAGGAAGGAACACTTCCAAATTCTTTTAATGAATCAAGTATTACTCGGATAACAAAACCAAAGATCAAACAGAAAAGAAAATCATAAGCAATCACTCTAATGACTATAGATGCAAAAATTTTCAAATGATCCCACACATGATTGCCTCGACAATCATGGAATACATCCGACAGAGGACATGAAAACCTTATAACATAAGGCTTCGAGACACTGAGGAAAGAAATTTCCGAAGATGCCAGAGTATGAAAAGATCTGCATGCTCACAGACCAGTAGGATTTACATTGTGAAAATGGCCATCCTACCAAACCAATCGATAGATTCAGTGCAACACCCTTAAAAATTCCAACACAGTTATTCACAGATATTGAAAACTTAATAATCTCAAATTTCATATGGAAACACACAAGCCCAGGATAGCCAAAATAACTGTAAACAATAGAAGAGTTAGGGTCTTCACCATCTCTGATTTCAAATTAAACTACAGAGCTATAATAATAAAACAGAGCCAGACATGGTGGCACACCTTTAATCCCAGCCCTCAGAAGCTAAGCCAGATAATAACCCAGCATGGGTAGGGGAAGTGGGAAGAAGCCCCAGCCCTGGCTGAGGGTCTACTGGTAATTGATAGCTGAAGGGATAGGCAGAGACAGTTTTCTTCAAGGATGTGATGTCTGATGGGTTGAACAGGCTCCAGGAGATCAACTCACAGTCAGCAGTGTTTGGGGAATACAAATTAAAGTCAAAGGCCTTTTAAAAAAGAATAGACCACATGACATTGGGGATGGTGGTATAGTAATGTGGGATGGAAATATGGGAGGGGTCTGAATGTTATCAAAATACAGATATGAAATTCTCAAAGAGTACAAAACGGGCTTTTGAAATCTTTGGCATTTCAGCTACTTGATTATCTTGGCACTGTGAAGCTGTCAGCTGTGGGCTGTCACCCTGAAATGCTCTCCTCGCAGTTGGTTTCTTTCTTGTGTTTTGACCAATGTTGGTGTGGGTGTGTGCTCTGACTTGCAACTTTGCCCTTTGACCACTGCTGTTGTTTGTTGTCTTTGCGAGTGTTCTCCCAGTGTTGGACATTTTGGGTTTATGTTCTGGGGAAAATCAACTGCAGTAAAAACCTTGATGGTTTGACAGAAGTCCTAGTGTTAGCTTAGCTCAAGATACAATTCCAAGTTCCCTCAGAAGGTTCTTTCGTTGTAAATTTCCTTCCTGCTAGGGTCAGGGTGCGTGTGTGTGTCGAGGAGCTCTCCTCCTCAGACTCCCTCACCACACGTCTGCTGCTGCCTCCGCTGTCCTTCAATCCAGACCCCATGCAGTGTTCCCCTCTCTCCCATATGCTCTCCTGGTTCTCACAGATCTCTTGCTCTGGTGCAATAGTGTGGGGTGATGATGCGCTGCACGTGCCTCAACTTTAGGGACCTTTATTCTTTCTGGAACTGGGTCTGTGGGCTGCCCAGCGTCTCCTTTGCTAGAGCTCAATCTAATTCTCTGCGCTGCAGTCAAATCGCTTGCTCCTCCAGGCCGTGGCAGGAGAAGGGTTACCGAGACCGTTGGCGATCTCTTCATTTCAGATTCCCGAAGCCACTTCTAGCGCTCGTCTGAGGTTTTCTGGTGACCCCCTCAACCTGTAAGTGGAGTCTCCAGCAGTGGAACCTTCTCTCCCAGCTCCGGCCTTCAGAGCATTCCAGGATCAGGACCCAGTTCTGCGGCACTGCTGAGGCGCATCTGGGCGTCTTCACTGGTTTTGTGGGAAAAAAAAAGCCCACCTAGTCCTAGGCTTTTATCACTGCCTAGTCTTCTCTTATTTCTCTATTGATGTCTTTTTGTCTTGACTTTCTTTCACCACCTGAATTCACAGACGCTATTTATGATCCACCGTCTTCCCAGAGTCCTTCTCAAAGGTCCCACGTAGCAGAAGGCCGCACACCTGACAGGAAGATTGGACTTGGGCACACTCAGCCGGCAGTGGTCTGTGTGCCTGTGGAGGGTAGACGAGGGCGTTAGTCCCTGGAACTGAAGTAACAGATGGCAGTGAGCCCCCAGGATGCCCTGCAGGAACAGGAACGTCGTTCGCATTACCCACCCGGCCTTTGCCCCCCAGCCCCCATCAGTCTTATTCTTTACGTTTGTGTTCAGTTGAATGACCCACGGATGCCTCTGGCAAAGTTCTGTTTGGAAAGTGCTGAGGCAGGTTACCCAGATCACACTTCGCAAGGCAGAGCCTGTTATTCTCTTAAATGATATGACTGTCTAATATTAATACAGGGCCTTATTCACGTTCCTTTAGTGATGCAGATTTTCCTTTAAAATTGCAATTGAAAGTTGTCTAAGGTCTTATCACCTAGCAGGTGTTATAAAAGTATGGACTTGGCAGTATATTATTGAAAATTACGTTGTATTTCCTTCCAATCATTCAAAGGAACCTATCACATGATAAAATTACAAATAATTTTGGTGATAAACACAACTGGATATGTTATAGATCTGACTTAAATTCTGAAACTATTTTGTCTATAAGTTTTAGATGACTCAGGTAAACAATGATTAGGTGACGTTTTGCTTCTCATTTTTCATCTACTATCATCTGAAGAATTTTATCTTCAAATTCAGTATCACATTTTGAAAATAAGGTATTTTTCTAAGTTGAGTTGCAAAAAAAATCTCTAGAAAAATATGCGTTTTAGCAGCTAATTTCACTGAGTAGACATAATGTTATTTTAAATAACTGATATTAGTTAACACTAAACACAAATGAGCTCACTTAACATAGGGTAGACTATTTTCATATCTAGTTAACAGTTGCTGATATAATTGTTTAAAAGTAGCAGACTGTCAAATATGTATCTCAGTGGTAGAGCACTTGCCTAGCATGCATGAGGTCCTAGGTTTAAGCCTCAGCACTGCAGAAAAATAGAATGTATTGCTAATTAAACTTCAGTGTTTCCCTGGTACCCTTTTTTAATTGATCAGCTTCTTTTAAAATATAAGTTCTAAAGATACAAATTGCCTTATTTAATTTGTAAATATTTTTGTAGATGGTTAAATTTCTTTCTATAAAGCACTTAAGTACACTTAAAGAAATTGCACATATTAGTCCTATTTACTTAATCATGTCACAGGATGCAAAGATCTCACATTCTTGCTTTCAGCTTCTATTTATCTAGCCGTATTTTCTCATCAACTGTGATGGATCTACTTCAGCAGTAGAGCCTCCTGCATTTGATTTTTAGAGTAGTCACTACTACATCATCTATTTGGAGACTGTGTACCTGGCATTGATAGTCCCATTTTGTGAGACATTGTCGCTCTACAATTTGCAGGTACAGAAATGAACATGTATGTATAAAAGTGATATCATGTAACCTGTACAAACTTTGTGTTTCATTTGTAAGGCAGATGGACAGCACAGAACTATAGTCAGTTCTGGGGCATGACTTTAGAAGAAGGGTTCAAATTTCGCCTGGGCACCTTGCCACCTAGCCCCGTGCTCCTGAGCATGAATGAAATGACAGTAAGTGATCTTTCTGATTCTTGATGTGCACAAATTTTTATAAGTTAATTCATGTGTGTGTTTGAAGACATCTAAAACAGTGATAATATACAGTTTTGAAGTTTCAGGGTCATGAAAAATGGAGTATTCTTGACACATAAGTAAAAAACATTTTCTCTAAATAAAAAAACCATTACATACCTCAAAAGGTTTGGGTGTCTCTTAAGTAATGACTGCATGTTCTCTTATACTGGCAATGATTTCACTAAAACATATTTCTGCTGATGGGTTGTTTAACATTTTGGGTGGTAAATCTTGATTGCAAGTTGATTTGACTGAGAGGTGCTAGATTAGTAAAATATACCATTGGGTGTGTTTATGAAAGTATAAACCAAGGGAGGAACATCCACCCTAAGTGTGGGTGGCATTATCCTATAGTCCTACAGTGATGATGAAATAAAAAGAGGACATGAGGAAGCTTCCATCTCAGGCATTCTTTTCTCCCTCTGCTTCCCCTGGTCACTGCAATGCGATCTGCCCTGCTCAACCATGCCCTTTCCACCAAGATGACCTCTGCATCCAAAGAGTCAGAATAAACCCTTCCATTGTTAAACTGTTTAGATTAGGTATTTTGACATAACAATGAAAAGTCTAACACAATATGCAAATACTTCAACAAGATGATCATGGATTTGTTTGTAATTACTTTTATTATTTTTATTGTAATTTTTGAGGCATTGTCTTATTTTGTTGTACAGAATGGCGTGGAACTTACTACACAGGCAAAACTGACTTTGAACTCAAACAGATGAAGCCTGAGTGCTGAGATTACAGGAATGTGCAATCATGTCTGACCATATTTTTAGTTTTAAACTAAACTATTACTTTGCAAATTAATCAAAACTTTGTTTTGATATCTTTTAGAATATCCATTTTAATATATGACTGAAGTAAATGCTGGCAGCCTCAGACATGTATGCTATTATGGCTAGAAAAGTTTTATCCCCAAACATCCTCAAGCTTTTCAGTAAGAGAATATGTTCAGATTTTACCTAGAGATCTGGCACATTCTTTGTGAAATTCATTCAGGCTTCCTTCTATTTTTATGCTTTGTGCTACTGCATAGGTTTTGCTTTCCTATTTTGCGTACCTTTCTAGGGACCACAAACACTACCAGACTGATGTTTTCACCATGCAGTGTTTGATGTTTCCCAGGCACATACACTTTCTACTTGAGATTATCTTCTGCAGCCTGTTGCTACAGTCCAGAGCTGCATCATGTACGGAGACTCTGGACTGTAGCTTCTCAGTCTACAATAAAGACATCAGGTCCCAGCCACCCACATGTTCTCAGCACTAGCCCGTATGAAACAGTTAACCTGAGCTTTGTTTTTAAGAGATATGCTCACCTGAGTGAAATTCGAATTCCCATTCCAGTCCTAGGTCCTGCTGAATTATAGCTAGTACCAGGGAAAATGACAATGACTGATGTTTATTGAACAGTTGTGTGTCACACAGACACATACATTCATACTTTATGTTTTTAATTTCCCCAGCAGCTTTATGTACTGGGAGCCATCATCACTCACATTTTAATGTCAAGCAAATTGACACTGAAGGAGGCTAAGTCACACTGAGATGAGCAAGGTTAAGGGTAGCCACAGAGTTAATGATGTTGCAGAGCCTGATCTGTCCCCCAATAGTCTGTATAGTAGGTAGAGTCAGTTGACTTTAGCCAATTCACTATCAAGATAACAAAGAGCTGGTTAATCTAACCAGAGTTAATTTTCAGAAACAATCAGTTTAAAATATATTCGAACCTTTCTAGAATCAGTCATATAAAATCTTAGCAATATAGTTTAACTTCATGGTTTTTAGTGACTTAACTCTGATTAATTGGGAAAAGTCCCTTTTTTCTTGTGGTTTTGGTTGTACTTTCTGTCTCTAGCAGGGCATGTGAGGAGAAATCACAAGGATTGTTCTTGCACTTTCTTTCATTGAAGGACACAGTGAGCCCAATATTTGTTTGCATAAATATTAATATACATGTCCTCGATTATTTCCTTTTCCTATTTAATTTTTCAGCTTCTGAAGACCTATAATCTTTCTAGAAAAACAAGACATAAAATTCTTCCTGTGCTGTCACTCACCATAGCATGAAAGAGAAAGTTTAACTCTAAATCAGTTATTGAAGCTTGGGGATTTGTTTGCATAAAATATCTGTGGTAAAATTAACTGAAAATTTTAATGATTAGTATTCTAGGGGAATTTAAATTATCTACACACTAAGTAATTCCAGGAAAGCTCCGAGACAGTTTAGCTGACCGATAAGAGTACCATTTCTCACTTAAGATGCAAGGCCAGGAAATAGATTTTTTCTTTTTCTTTTTGTGAATATCATATGTGAGTCCAGTCTTTGCATTTCCATCTCTCCCAGTCCCCCTCTAACTTCTCCTATGCCCCATTCCCCTCAATTTCTTGTCCTCTTCATTATTTTTTAAATATTTTATTCATTATTTTTTATGTGTATGAGTGTATTGCCTGCATATATGTAAATGCACCTATTTCATACAATGCCCATGGAGATCAGAAGAGGGTGTTGAGTTCCTCTGGAACTGGGGTTACAGATAGCTGTTAGCCACCATGTGGGTGCTGAGAATTGAACCCGGGTCCTCTGCAGGAGCAGTCAGTGCTCTCAACTGTGGAGTCATCTTTCCAGTCCCCCTATTATTCACACACACACACACACACACACACACACACACACACACACACACACACAGACACACACACACACATACACATTGTACTGAGTCCACTTAATGGTGCTGCCCCTGTGTACCTGTGTTTAAGGCTGGCCACTTGGAATTAGACAACTGCTCAAGGAACTAGTCTCTAGAGAAAACTGATTCTCCCTCCTTCAGCGTCCTTTGATAACCTGAAGCTCTTCATCTTAAAGTGGGACTCTGCGAAATTTCCCACATTTTCCTTGGCTTGTCAACTTGTTTTGTCCTTATGAAGATCTTGTTAAGCTACCATACTGTGGAGATTTCATCCATACAGCTTTCCTCTCATGACTAGAATGCCTTAAGTAGCAGTAGCTTTCTTCCACGTCGAGCTCCTACATTCTTTCTGCCCCTTTCATGATGTTCTCTGAGCCTTAGGTGTAGAAGTTGCATTGTAGATGTGTCACTTAGGGCTAGGTGCATCATAGACACTTATTCTCTGCATTTGACCAGTTGCAGAACTTTGTAATGTCTCCATCAGGGTAGTCAGGAACGCTACAGCATCACCTTTCTGGTGGGTTCTGAATAGTCAGCAAGGTAGAAAATAGATTCTTATTTCTCAGGCATGGTAGATTAAGGACCAAGTTTCTGAGTGTTTGAATTGCCTTAATAACTATTCAAATAGAAGAGAAAAGGAACTGTGGCAGGTACTTCTGGGAAGGATATGGATCGTGTGAACTGAGTCACACTGGAAGACACAGAAGGTGCTAAAGATTTGCAAATTTTTAGCCTGATGACTATACCGTTAATACTCAGTAAATATTATCAACTAACAAAATACTATACAAATGAACTGTTTGTAGTTGTGCTTCTGGACAACTGATATTTCTTCCATTTAATTCTTATCTTCAACACAGGGTGGACTATACATGTAATGGGGTTATTGTTATATTATTTCATATTTGTTGTTAACAAATCGTGATATGATTTCTGGTGTGCTGAGAAAATGCACTGTACCTAACCCTCCAAATATCTCTTATTCTTTGGCCACATTGCCTGGATGAAAGTTGAGACTTACTCTGGATGGGAAAGGTGAGTTTTGAACCATCCTTGGTCCCTGGCCAGCTCTTCCCTCCCCGCTGCATCCTAACTTCATTCTTTAACTTAGTGAATATTGGTCTGTGATTTCTACTGAATTTGAGTGGGAGGAACATCAGGAGGTGTTTTACAGAGATTTCCATGATGAATTCATCAACTCTGCTGCACTGTGCACTCACAGAAGCATGGCTGCCTGCACAAAAGCTGCACGAGATCAAGCCAGTCAACACTGCAGCCTGGAGTAGGGAGCTGTTAGCTTCTGGGGAAGAAGAATCAATTTTCTTTAAGGGTGTGGCCCCTTGGAAGGTGAACCACGCTCCAGTGGTGACCCCACACCTGTGAGTATATGGGCAGCACAGATTGGACTCTGGGTTATTGAAAAAGTAATGGAAGACCACAAAGTGGGAGGGAGTAGGGAAGTGGGAAGTTAATGGGGGGTTAGGGGGAGGAGTGAAGGATGAGTGTGTGCAAATCACATTGCATGAAATTCCCAAAGAGTTACTAAAAATATTATATTACAGAAAGAGAAATAAATTCTGAAACTCTAGTTCTCCCAGACTACTTCAACCACACTTTTAACAGTGTGATTTGTAACAATGAAGAATAAAAATGTGTCAACAGTGTGGACTAGGGAAAGGCCATGTAGGGACTGTGGAGCTGGCCTCCCTAGATGCTAATCTTATGTAAGGGCAGTCGAAAGTAAACATAACGTAATGTTCTATTTGAGCAGAGTAGTTGATTAGAAGTGAAAGGAGTGAAAGAAGGTGAAGGAAACCTGTCTGTACCCTTTGATTAGAGTTTTGGAAAAACTCCCATGCATGGGCACAGTCTTATGGAAAAAAGGATCCATAAACAAAAACAGAGACATTCCAAAAGAAAGAGGTTGGCAAGCTCAGTGAAGGCTGAGTCAGCCTCTCCTTGACCTTGGACATAGACTTCTGGGGCAAATTCACAACTTGAAGAATTCTGTCTCAGCTATTGTCAAATGGATTTGTGATAAATAGTACATCATATCTTCCATCTGATGATTCAAAAACTATAAGAATATAGCTGGGTGTGGTGGTGCACACCTTTAACCCCAGCACTTGGGAGGCAGAGGGAGGCGGATCTTTGTGAGTTCAAGGTCAGCCTGGTCTCAAAAAGTCATTCTTTAGTTGTTGAACCCAGAACCAAGCACATTAAGGAGGGGGAGAGAGA